TTGTCTTAAAATGGAAGAAATAAAAACACCACCAAACAAACACCACAATTGCCTTCAAACCAGAAGGCAAGCAAACCCTTTGAAGCACAACTCACCATAGACTGTAATCACTGAGACGGTCAGGGAGGACACAAAGACTTAAGAAGTTTACCTAGAGGAGACTAATGCCAATCCAAACAGATTTTAAGGAATTTGTAAACACCTTCGGTGGAAAAAGACAAAGTAACCCTTCAGATTACCAACTTACAGTTACATGGATTCTCTGGGAATTGATCTAGACACCTTCAAAAAAATCTGTGCATCTCTCTGAAAATTATGCACCTATGAACTATTTGCCAAAGAAAAAGGAAATGGAAGTAGCTACTGTCTTCTTTTATTTTAGAGTTTTACAAGACAAAGAGGTTTTATATTTTAAAATTAGAAGTATTTTCCTTAATTCTATCTCCCTCATCCTGAAGAACAAGCAAGTTTTTCTTTAAATGTGAATTTAGAATTTCAGACCAAAATTTTGTATTTGAAGTGCCTAACTTGAATAAGTGATCTTATCGGTTCCTACAATATATTTTTCTAGTGCTTTGTCCAACCTAGTGATAAATAACTCAAGCAATGAGATTCTTGTAAGTTATATCAAATGTCTCTGCCTCATTTTTTTCTCCCTATCTATACTATGGGGATATTTCTTCCCCACCTCTCAGCAATTTTTTAAAGTATTTAAGTCACTGTTTGTAAACTGCTGAGATCCTTTGGTGCTCTAAGCAGTTACAATTAATATAATCCACAGCCAGATGGACCAAATTTCTGAAGCAGGTCTTTGGATTCTGTGGCACTCTGGGTGCATGGAGTGCATTCATACCCACAGAAGATCACATGTAGGGACTAGCACTTGAATAAGAATGGCTGGATACTCCTAACATCATGATCATCAGTGAAATAGCTAAGTGTGACTCTAAATTGCCATCACTCATCGCTAGGTTTCAGTTATTCTCTGTTGAAATTAATGGAAAGTTCACACCTTTTACAACTATTATTTCAGGCTGTCTGCAACGTCAAAGAGAGAATGCTGCATTGGTTTGTACTGGGTTCGCGTTTTCAAAGTCATCCTCATGAACATTAAGATTAGACATTAAAAAAAGTTTCTACTTTATTCTGAAGGTGTTTAAGTGATCTGAATTTTCACCAGCTGCCAGTTTGCTACACATTAGCTATCTTGTTTTAAATCAATACCCTCCATATTTCAATCACTGTTTGGGTAAATAGCGATAATTAAAAGCTAAGCAAAAATGTCCCTGGGTGATATTAGATAAAAGACATATTAGTCATACAACTTCTATTAAAAATTCTACACTCCATTCTACTTAATTTTTTTTTTCAACCCTGAGGCTGAAACTGAAACTAAAAATAAACTGTTCCATTTTTTTCTACTTAAAGGATCACTAAAACACCATTACTGGTATTAACTATATCAATTTAAATAGTTTTTCAGAAACTTAGCAATTACTACAGCATGGTTAACTAATTAATATATGTTTAAACAGATGTTCACTCAAACTACTTGAATGCAGGAATGAGTTCTATTAATATACTATAGAGCGTAGATCATTTGTAATTTGGCAAAAAGTTGTCTATTTCAATGTACCAGTAGTTAAATAGTAGAGATGAAGCTGACTTGGAACTCATGAACCTTCTTTCTGGGTTTGCCCAATGGGAAACACTGCTTCCAATCTCACACCCAGCTTTCTTCCTATGTAAAATATGCTAACTCCACCTCCCACCCGAGCCATGGTTCCTTCTCTCTTCTTCCTCCCCATCCCAACAATGAATCCCTCTTCCTGGATTCCCTACCATATCCTCGTGATTCTATTCATAAACAAACTCCACCTAGTTTCCACAGATTGTTTTTGGTTTTTTGGTGTGCTGTTGTGATGTATCATTTCTTCAGTTTTGTTTTTTTTTCTATAAAAGTCCACTTGTTCTCCTCACCCACCCACCTCCAAGTAGGGAAACTCTAGATACAATCGATCCTCAAGAAGCCCTTGAAAACCACTCGACATCTGCTCTTCTCCCATCTCTTTAAACTACTCTCATTATCTTTGCTGTTGGCTCCTCTGCTCAGAAGTACAATATTCCAAGAACTTCACTCTGCATCAAAAGTCGAGAGCGGAGGGACCAGGAGCAAAGAAAAGAGAAGTCACCTGCTTTAGGATAGGCTCAGTGTACAGTAATTCCTCACTTAAAGTCGTCCCAGTTAAAGTTGTTTCATTATTAAATCGCTGTTCTATTGGAGAACATGCTCGTTTAAAGTTGTGCAATGTTCTAACACCCTCCACAACCACCACCAGCTCCTGCTGGTGGGCCCCGCAGATCAGCGCCTCCCCTCTCCCTCTCCGCGCCTCCCACAATCAGCTGTTTCATGGCATGCAGGGAGGCTGGGAGAGGAGCGAGGATATGGCGTGCTCAGGGGCGGAACTGGGCAGGAAGAGGCGGGGAGAGGCCTTGAGGGAAGGGGTGGGATGAGGGCAGGGTCTGGGGCAGAGCCAGGGGTCAAACACCCCCCGGTAGTTTGAAAAGTCAGTGCCTGTAGCCCCAGAAGCCTATGGCTGTCTCCAGCTGTGCAGAGATCTAGAGGCCTAGTGCCTCTGCGTTGTGTGTCCCGAGCGTACCATGCAACCTGGCAGATTGATTCCCTTAGGAGACGACTGGTTTCCCCAGCACCCTGGGGGTGGGGGCACGTTCAGTGACTAACTAGAGCAGGCATTTGTGTGATCTGCTGCTCAGAGACTAGCAGACACATCTCCATCAGTGCTGGGGAAGGATGCAGCACAGTGTCACTTCCTATATGCTGTCGCTTGCCTGCTCTGCCTGGCTCCCATGCTGAGCCCAAACCCGCAAAGCTTGCACTGGGAGGATTCTGCAGGCCTAGGAGTAGGGGTGTTGTTGGCCCACACCCTCACCAGAGCTCTGGGGCCAGAGGATATTCACTTAGCTAGCCACAGCTGTGAGTCAAACCGCATATAATGTCTTTTGTCTGGCGAAATTTTTTTACCTGGAACCTAACCCTCCCATTTACATTAATTCTTATGGGGAAATTGGATTCGCTTAAGATTGTTTTGCTTAAAGTCGCATTTTTCAGGAACATAACTACAACGTTAAGTGAGGAGTTACTGTAGTCAGGTCTATGCTGCTCTACTCCTTATGGCACAAGTATAGAATAGTTGGAATTCTCAAGCCCTTCCAAACTACTGACTAGCTAATAAATAGATGGGATGCTGAACAGAACACAACAAAGAAATCCAATTATGAGAATGTGTTGAAATTAGACATTTAAGACTCTGATCATGGAAAGACTTCTGCCCATGAGTAGTTCTGCTGAACACTTTTCCCCTCAGTAAGACATACTGTACAATATTTAGACCCTTCCCCTTTCTTTTATATTGAAGTGGATTTTTGTATGTACTTAAAATACTTAAATTCTACATATTGTGTTCAGTTCTCATTACTCAAGAAAACAGAGCAGAAATGGAAAGTTCAAGAGCAGGCACTGGAAAAACCTCCACATGGAGAAAGACAGGGACTATTTAATTTGGAAGAGATTGTTACTTGGGTTTTTTTAGAATTTAAAGCCGTGGTAATTTAATTGGTTTTTTTTTAGGCAGTGTTAGGAATAAATTATTAAGATGCATAGCTTATTTGTTTGATATGTGATATAAGCAAGTGTGCTTTTATTTAAAGTTATTTATTAGATTTTAAGCATTATACACATGCACACACACAGATGTGCAATAGGTTTAGGATATTTTAGATATAGTTATTTATAGTTTGAGATGGTTTTGAGTGATTATTAGCCAGGCTTTTAGGGGCTTTTTTTAGTTTAGCTGATGGGGAATTTAGATGTTAGTTTTTTGCTTGAAGAAATGTTTTTTTGGACTGTTTTAAAGCAAATTATTTATTTTATAGTTAATATTAATACAACATATATAATTTATAGTGATTTTAGTATAGTAATTTTATTGGTTATATTTAATCAATTTATTATTTTAAAATGTTTTAGCATTTTAGTTATAATAATTATAATAATATGTTAGGAGTATTTAAAATTAAGGTTATTTATTTTTTAAATAAAACACAAAATTAACAAAAAAAATTCATTAGCAAACCGAAAGTATGCAACTGTTTGACCTGGTCTTACAAAGACCTAAGATTATTTTTCACTCTGTGGTATTTGGTTTTTAGCTGGCAGTGGTTGAACATACAAAATGGCTGACAACAGTACTGTCAAGTTCTGGAGTTCACACAAGAATGTCAAATTCTGAGGTAACACAGACAACTAATCAAAAATAGCATGATAGAGAAATATAAAATGATGTATGGTATACAAAAGGTAAAGTATGCACTCCTCTTTACTCTCATAATAGTGGGCATTCAATTCCTATTTTCCTTTCTTAATTCCTGTGTTTTATTTTTAAATATTATTTTCAAGCTTCAGGAGACTGGATCCCCAGATAATGTGAGTCAGTATAATTCCACAGACTTCAATGCAAGTATGCAGATTTACACCAGCTGAGGATCTGACCCCACATCTTTAATGCAGGGAAAAGAAAAAAAATCATTGGACATTTTTAGTAGCCTGTGTCAAACTATGAAATCGCCTCATGCAGCAAAGCAAAAAAAAACCAGTATTTATTCTGGTTTCCACAAATTTGTTTTGATCTGCATATAACTGGCTAGTTGGAGGATAAACCCTAAATTTGGGGCTGGAGGAGAACTTTGCATACATTCAGATAAAAGATTTTCAAATGCTGATATTCACTGAAATCCTATTCTTAAACAAGACGAGTGCTACAACATGCTCTCTTTTTTACATATTTACTTTTTCTTAGTCTCTGTTGAAAGTTCCAAGGAGGCATAATATTTTATTTCTAACTAACAATACTATTATTGTAAACTGTATATTTGGATTTCATGCTAACGTAGATAGTGAGGTTGGAAGTTATTTCACTTACCCTATTGATATTGCTGTTGCTTAAAATAATCTGAACTAGGTTTTTCTTAAATTCTTCTAGCTTCTCAAAACACATTTTCAGAACATGATTAGATAAATTAGCATCAGTTATTAAATTGATCAAAACAGAAACTGCTTCTGTCAGAAAATTTGAGACAGGAAATTTAGGATTCTTGTAAAAAGTAAGCAGGCCATCAAGCAATCGAGAGACAGAATCTGATATTGTGGAGCAGTCGCTTTCAAGCTTTGTAAAGACTGTTTTCAGACCTCCTGCTTCTGTCAGTTTTCTTAGTTCAAGGAGATGTTGCAAGAACTGCATGTGAGCAGCCAGAGTTTTTTCCTTGTTAGTACAATGGGTATTCAATATAGGAAGTATTTCAGAATTAAACGTACAAGATGAAGTGTTACAACTGTGCTCAGAGTGCCCAAAGTTATGTGATATGTCTACAGTATCAAATACACAGTCACTAGATACATCACACCCAGAATCTTCTAGCTGACTTGAGCAATTTATTATAGGGTTTATATGTTCCTGATCCAGCAGAATTTCAGTAAAGGCATCTGGGTTTCCTGAAATACAAACATGAAAGTTATATTTATATTTCTGAGATACTTTCACAAAGAATGTACCATATCTAATCCAATGTTTTTAACATAAATCTTAAGTACAAAAAATGAATAATACAGTATAGGTTGTTTTCCAGTCATCAATTTTAATACTAATGGAATTTAAAACACATTTTAATAAAGTTAGAAATCTCTGAAAACAATGCTTATTGAGATTCTGCCTTAAATAGATAGCCCAATCTGTATCTCTGATAAAATCCTTTGAGCAATTTAGGAGTAGCAGTTTTAATCTGATTTTAAATATTTTGATGGTTCAAAGACTTCATATAGTAAATTAAATTGGTTGTACAATAGGACTTGCACTCCTATCAGTTCCAAAGGAAAGAATTGTATGCCATTTCCCATCTTCCATTACCTTTTTCACTCTTTTTCCACTTAAAGAATAGTATTTTTGTAAATTTTAAAGTTAATTAACATAATTGTATCTACTAAGTAATCTCTTTCCAATTTTTAATTTGTCAAATATCCCTGAAAGTGACCTATTTACTTTGTCATTCAAGCAAATCAAATTATGCTTTTAATAGGAAAACACAGGAATGTTCTACTCTCTTCCACACTATGCAATGGAGGACATCTTACGAGTATGAATCTACGAGCAAGTATCACGTTATGGGTGCTGTTAGAAAAAAAAAGAATTCTTGGGTTTTGTCTATGCCTGGAATATGGATTATTACTACTATTTATTTGCATTACCGTACCATTCTAGAATGTGTTAACATGCTTTAAATAATATGTTCTTAAACAATTTAGAAGCTAATCTAGATTCAACTGGTTAAAAATGTGTTAACTGATCACAATTAACCTTTAAAGAGAAACATTCAATTTGGGGGGGAAAAAAGTCAAAGAACATTTTGGACAGAAATGTGTTATCTACAGTTGTTATAAGTAACACCTAAATACGAGAACTGAAAAAAAAAGGTTAGAGAACGTTTCTCAGGGTTTTTTTCCCACTTTACTTTGTGCATTTAAAAAACACTCTATAGTACTAGTCTCTGATGCCATGTACTTCCTATGCACTAGAACAAGAGTCAGGAACAACTAACTGAGGGTATGTCTACACAACCGAGACTACACCGGCATAGCTAAATTTCCACAGCAATGCTGGCATAATCCCAGAGAGTAAATGCAGCCCACATTGACATAATGGTTTTTCCCACTGGGGTAGGAACACCACCTTCTTGAGCAACAGTAGCTATGCTGATGGAAGCATTCGTCCATCAACACAGCTGCATCTTACTGGGGGGTTTGGTCAGCAAAGCTATGTCAATCAGGGGTATAGATTTTTCATACCGCTGACCAACAAAGCTATGTCTACCTAATTTTTAAGTGCAGACCAGGCCTCAAATAGCCAACAACCTCATCCAGAGCAGGAATTTTCCTTTTCTCTTTCAAACACACAATAGCCTAATCAACACTGAAGAAAAATGCCCTGGGTACATCAATCCTAGCCAACTACTGCCCAATGTCAAACCTCCCATTCCTGAGCAAGATTTTAGAGAAGCTAGCAAATGGCTACATCAGGCCCTTCTAACTGAAGTGAACATTCTACATACACCTGAATCTGTTTTCAGGCCAGGACACAGAATCAAAACCACCTTAGTGACACTGATGCATGATCTCCTCCTGTCAATGGATAGAAGACAGACATCCATCCTCATCCTCCTGGACCCCTCTGCAACACTGGACACTGATGACCATGATATTATGCTGTCTCAAGAACATAAGAATGGCCATACTGGGTCAGACCAAAGTATCCTGTCTTCTGACAGTGGCCAATGCCAGGTGCCAAAGAGGGAATGAAGAAGTAATCATCAAGCGATCCATCCTGTCACCCATTCCCAGCTTCTGGCAAACAAAAGCTAGGGACAACATCACTACCCATCCTGGCTAATAGACACTGATGGACCTATCCTCCATGATGTGTCTCACATGTGAGAGAGGGCAGGGGTCCAGGATAATCCTCCAATTTGTCTAGGTCACTCTGGACCCTATCCCTACCCTCCAGTGTATCTACCTCTCCCTGCAGCTTAGTATCATCCACAAACTTGTTGAGGGTGCAATCTATCCCATCGTCCAGATCATTAACGAAGATATTGAACAAAACCGGCCCCAGGACAGAGCATGATCTTGTCTGAGAAGACCGAGGCAAAAGAAGTCCCCTGCTGAGGTCAGCAGAATGGTGAGGGGTGCAAGGACGAGGAACAAAAGAGATACCGAAGGAAAAAGACGAGATATGGAATGGTCTGCCAGAACCAAGTTTGAGGCCATCCCCCTCCCCACTCCAAAGAACAGGCAGAGCATGTACACTGAGCTGCTCTTATCACTGGGAGACAGAGTACATGACTCAGTTCCTGATCATTTGGGAACCAACACTTCTATCCCATGATGACCAGTCTCCATAAATGCTTAAAGATGTGGATACTCAAGAGCAGCACATTTCCAGACTGATGAATAGTGTGAATATAAAAACACACCGAGAGTCACACTTTTTTCCCTTGATAATTAAAAAAAGTGTGCAAACTTTAGCTCTGCCCCAAAATAAATACTATTCTTTCATCAGCAATCTTAAAATATCAGTACATATTTATCAATTAACATTTGTCACTTAACTTTGAAAATATTTTGATACCAAAATCAAGATAACAAAAATATATTTTTTTTAAAAATACAGGGGTCAGAGTTAAAATTGCTGGGCTGGGCTGAAATGTCCATTCTTTTTTACTTGATACAAATGTGTTTACATTTATTATGTGGGCAATTTGTTTATGCTAAAATTTTCAAAAGCACCTTAAGAATGAGCCTAAATCCCATTGACCTTCGATGGCTTAAATGCCTTAGTTGATCAAATGGAATGTAGGTGGTTTTGAAAATTTTATGTTTATGTACTTAGATACATATCCATGCTTGTAAATGCTTGGATTTTGTAAAAGGTATGATAGGTAAGTACAATGTTGTCACTTAGGAACATTAAATGATTTTTTGAAATAAAGTTGGGTTTTTTTAGAATAAATTAAGCTTTACATCTCTTATGTAACTTTTTAAAAGCTGGGATGAGGTGGAACTCTGTTGTAAGAAGCGAAAGGCTTTAGGTTCTGTAAATATCATAGCTGATCAGAGAAGGGTCCCCAATCATAAAATACTTTAATTTCAATGTTTAGCATATCATCCCTGTGGCAATTACAACAGTTGTTTAGCTGTTAGGAATATATTTTTGATTGGTAATGCTGGAAAGGAGGAGGAAGATCCAGCACCACGTGATATCTAGCACTGTTATCACCATCTTGGGCTCCAGGAACCGCAGTTTGGGAGCCTCTAATTTAGCTCAACTTCTGAAAATCAAATGGTTGCCAGCAAGGATCAGATCTAATAAAACACAATGAAACTAATAATTAAAAAAAACACTTAGGAACAAAAACAGATCCAAATTATTAATACACACTTTGTGAATCAAACATGAAATCACTACTCAATACATTCAGAGAAGAGAGGGGAACCGCACACCCAAACCCAGAATTTTTTTTATTTATTTTTTATTGCGGTCTCTCTTTTCACATTGAGGCATCCCTGTTACCCTTCATTAAGTCTTCAGTGACTGAAATATTGGTAGGTAGACTTTCATGAATGATGAATCAGGTTTATTCACTTCATTTTTCCACCCTTTCAACTATTTGTTTTTGTGGCTTTTTTTTTTTAACTGGCTTATTATGTAAGCCTCTCTCTACCACATTACTTTTTCGGTAACTATTACATTCATTAAAAGCTAAGCTACTGGGTTTGCAAAAAAAAAAAAAAGAAACACCCTCCTTCACAACTTCAAGAACTTGTATCTGTTTAGCACACTAATATGGTTATGGCACTTATGGTCCCTTGGAAACAAGATCTGCTTTCATAGACCTTATTGCTCCCAGGACCTATTTACCTCCTCTATGTATTATTTCAGAATAGTTCTGCAGATGGTAAATGCTTGCAAGATTCTCTATATTGAGCAAGCAACACATTTTCTCTTTAGAGATGTTTTACACCAAGTACTCTAGCGTTTGCTTATATACTTCAGTGGACCTTTACAAAAAAATTAAAGAAAGGACAGTATTTTCTGATTAAAAAACAGAGGGCTGCAATTCAAGAAAACTGGTTGTACTACAGATTTCCCATTTAGGAACAGACTCAGAGAAATGAGCATGAATCAGGCATTCAGAATTCCCAAATTCTAATTCTGCACACACTCGTTGTTTGGTATTTGCCCAAGTCTCAAAGTCAGAATAATTCAAATTCACTTTCCTAAAATGACAGATTCTGATACATAATACTTTGAGGAAAGAGCACAACAATTTCTCCTACAGCAGAGCCTGGTAAATCCCACTTAACAACGCACAACCCAAATCTTTGGATGTCAATTTCTCTCTCTATTCTGGATGATCCACATATCTGCAGGGTGAGCCAGGTCTTATTACTTGAAAAAAGGGATTTTTTAGATAAGCACAGGTATGTTTTCCTATTCTTCTTTATGCTAAGCACCACAAGTCTGTTACAGTGAGATTTTCATAGCAGTTTACCTTCAGTGTGAGAAGCAGGATCACCTTTTACAGAACAACATCCGAAACTAGGCAGATATACGTTTAAACCTAGACATTAAGATATGAAGAAGAGTTCTACCAAAAGAAAGGAAATGGCATTGTGTAGGCCAAAAGCCTAATGGGGAGAACTTGTCTCGTGTATATGGTACTCCGTTTTCCTAACTTTGAATTAGTAAGAAGAAATTGTTTTGGTTTTATTCTTTGCTTTACATGTTAATGATCGTTTTTAGAAGGATAGAAGTGTTACGGCTGTAATTGTTGCTTTTGAAATTATTTACTGTTTTGTGTATGAATGAAGAACGTATGGCATGTTAACAGAGAAGAGACAGGAGGCGCCAGTACTAATGGGCCAAATGGTCGAGAGGAGAG